AGGGCTACATTGGCTACCAGGAATACATCTTCAGAACAGGATTTGTATGTCGTCACAAACCTAAATGAGCCTTTGTAAGGTAGACCAGCTATAGAAGCTTTGAAACTCTTCGAGAGAGTTGAACGAGGTGAAGAAACAAGGTATACCTTCGGAATATCCAGAGTTATTTATGGGGTTAGGAAAGATAAACAAACCCTACAAGATCACACTGGATCAGGAAGCAAAACCGTTTTCTGTTGCGGTTGAAACAGATCAAAAACCACTTCTTCAACTGATGAAAACAAAGCATCTGGACGAATTGACCCCTCGCATTCAGAGATTTAGGATGAGAATGATGAGGTTTTCCTACAACCGTGTCCATGTACCAGGAAAGAATTTGGTAACATCGATGCATTGTCAAGAGCTCCGTGGGAGTGCCAAGTAAAGAAGATCATCAAATGGAAGAAGAGTGTGAGCTACACGTCAGATCTGTCCTGGAAGGATTCCCAGCAAGTGACAAGAAATTAGAGAGCAGCAAGATGCAGACAAAATCTGTAAGAAATTAAAAGAATACTGTCAGTCTTCATGGCCAGCGACAACCAAAGTCAATCCAGTTATGAAGCCATATCGGACGTCGAGAGACGAGCTGACTGTGGAACAAGGTCTGCTACTATACCAGTGCCGAATTGTTATTCCCACAATATTAAGACAGGATATTTTGAAACGTCTTCACGAAGGACACCAGGGGACAAGTCGAGTGCAGAGTGCTGGCTCGAAGCCGTGTATGGTGGCCTGGACTGTCACAGCAAATCGAAACGTTGGTTACAAACTGTCCAGACTGTGAAAAAGAAAGAAAGGTCAGCCCAGAACCATTGAAGCCGACAGTCACTCCAGACTACCCTTGGCAAAGGGTGGGTATGGATCTTTTTGTGTGGAAAGGTCACACATATCTCCTAATAGTAGACTTACTCGAGGTGGATTGAGATAGCTCATCTAAGACAGCCTACTGCTTCAAATGTCGTAGAACATTGCAAGTCAATTTTTGCTAGATATGGAGTTCCTGAAATCGTCGTCTCAGACAAAGGATTCCAGTTCGTTGCACACAAGTTTCCAAAGTTCTCACAGTACTATGGTTTAACGCACCTGAGAAGCAGCCCTCTACATCCTCAGAGTAATGGAGAAGCTGAAAGAGCCGTCAAAACTATCAAAATGTTACTGAGTAAGTCTGATGATCCTTACTTGGCTCTCATGAACTACCGCTCCACTCCTTTACAGCAAGGACAGAGCCCAGCAGAACTTCTAATGGGTAGGAAAATCAGGACAAGAGCGCCTATTTTCCCAGAAAAATTGGTCCCAAAGGGGGGAGAAAGGCATGTGTTCAGGAAGATTGACGCAGCTTTTAGGCAGAGGCAGAAACAGGATTACGATCGAAGACATTGCGCCAAGCCCATGTCAGACTTGTCAAAAGGACAGCCAGTTTGGGTTAAAACCCCAAGGGATGCCAAGGCTACGGTTGTAGACAGATCGAGAGACAGAACATACCTCTTGAAAACGGACAATGGCTTGAAGGTTCGTAATCGTCACCAGATCCGGCTGAGGACGGAAGGCGATGACAGTAACCATCTCGTGATCCCCAGAGAGTCTTCTATGTTGCCTCACCATCAGCCAGAATTACCAGTGGAGTCACTAGAGTCAGACACAACCCTTCATGATACTTCCACTACGTCTGACTACATAACGAAGTCGGGACGCCACAGAGACTCGACTTGTAGGCGAAGTTTCTGCTGTGTACAGTGTATATAAGGTTTCAGAGTTATAGTTTCAGTTTCAGGTTGATGCGTTTAGCATTTTGAATTGTTCTTGAAATTGCTTGTGAGGGGGATGTGATGTCAAGGGACATGACTCTTATCTTTACTGTGGGGACAAGATAATTAAGGGAGTGGCACGCCCTTGGATGACGTCAAGGGTCCGGCGGGAAATATGTGGAAATCTTCTGAGAGACTCACTGAGATATTCAGTCGGACTCAGGACCACGACGAGGCAACACTTATCTTGGACGGGGGCCCCCTGACAGACCCGACTCATCGGACCGACCTCCAGGTAACTTTACAGATCTAATGAGACCTGTGTACTCCACAGGTTTGAGTCGATAAGGCCAAACCTAGATCTAAGTACGGCTAGCCACTTCGCTTTGGAAATGGGAGTGTACAGTCCCGGTAGCCGGGAACAATTACAAAGTTAACAAAGTCACGAAGTATACAGTACAGACCGGGTAGGGGAAATCATTTGGGCCATCTTTATTTTATTTTATTCTCACCCCGGGCGAGAATTGAGAATAACCCATGTCTTGCTATTCCCCCCCCCCCCCCCCCCCCCCGTCGTGAGAATAATGAAATAATGTAAAATTAAACATTTTTCGCCTCTCCAGTAAAATAAAAATACTCACTACCGACACTGAGTGGGATGTGGGACCATTCGTTGTTAAGGATGGCACTTAACGATAGCAGGCCTCTCTGCACTCAATACATTATTTTATGGTTCAAGGAACAGAGAATGTGAACGTAAACATGAGACACGAGCACGAGACTAATATTAAAGTTAATGCTCTTGCACGACGGAAGGGTTGTAAATTATTCAAACCAAATGGGCGAGGGCGTCATCATGTTAACTAGTTTTAAGCAACCCAAGCTCTTTTCTTCACTTTCATTATTTTCATCTTTTATTCTTTCTTTTTCTTTTTTTTTCTTGCCTCTTCTGTCCCCTTCTTCTTCAACATTTTGAGTTTGGAGCCAAAAAAAAAAGCCAGAGGGCCAAATGAAATTCTCCGGGCCAGACGCGATCCAAATGAGCCAAATTTCTGGGATTTGGCTCCAATTTGACAACCGTGACTGTGACTAGATCTAGATTCTAGATGTATGTCTATTTGGATGCCAACACGATACTGTGGAGTACAGTGGAGTCCATTTATAACGAGTCCTGAAACAATGATAAGTCTGTTATAAAGACACTGTTCTAAAGCCCCGTTTTTTTTTCCTTCTTTATCTTTGTAAATAAAATACTGCTATTACGCAATCAGACTGTCACGCGAGTCGTTTATAACGGAATATTGCTGCTGCTGTGCACAGCGCACAGACCAATTAAACATTATTATAAAACCTTGCCAGTTGAGAAAGTTGTCGGTGATCCAGCGAAACAAGGAATGGGAGAGCGTACGCGAACCAACAATGAAGGCCGGAGCGAATGAGTGGGGAGGGTGTGGCATGCGCAGACACAAGCAGAATGCTTCGCGTGATAGGCCAGCCCAGTCTAGATTATCTAGACATACTGTGCCTCTCACTTCTCTGGTGCAGGACGGAGAGGTCACAATGCTGTGATAGATGGATGTAGTGAATGTATGACGTGCGCGAGCAGACGCAACGCACCACAAGGTGTGGTTGGGTGGGGGACAACACTGGGGGCGAGTTAACCTAGAGCCAGAGCCCCTTCTTTCTGATCGCCAAGGCCGATTTGTCAACATTACTAGTGCTAGAGAAAGAAACCTGATTAGATTTTTGATCAAGTAAGACCTTGAGATCATGTTGAACAAATCATCATCGGGGGAAATACAAAAAGGAATAAACAGAACGCCAAATCATAGATTAGACCTACTTTACTATGTCCCTTGAATTTATTACTGGATCCCTTGTAACGAGAATCCTGCTATAACGGACATTTCGCACCGGTCCCCTCACTCTCGTTATAACAGGATTCCACTGTATTAGCCCCAGTAACCTCAGCCCTGATCCTTTTTGGGTAATTTCCGGTAATACTGGGAGGCACGGCGCACGAAATCTGCCGAAATCCTGCCTTTTAGTTGCACCTCAGTTGCCGATGTCCGGCGGTAATTAATCACCCCGCCCGGTACCTGACTGTTAACCTTTTTTTATTGGGGTCATTTGACCTCATTGCACCATTATAAACTGGGATGCGTTCTTGATAAAATCGTCTCATTTACTATCTCAATTGCAGTGGTGCCATTGGACCCACCTAGTAGTATTAATTTATAGACTTTAGCAACACCATTTCTCCTCCTCTTAAAGAAAGTCCCAGTCTTCTATGTTTTATACCAGGTGTTCTACACGTGTCTGTTTGCTGCATGTGTAATTTCTCTTTTCTTATTTCAAATTGAGGATAAATAATCATTTATAGCGACAAAACGGTGCTTTGAATTTTATTTTTTTTAGTACTATGTGCGTGTTCATTAACAAATCCTGTTTTAAGTGTGTAAATTTCAGTACTACCGCAGTTGTGGTTGTTCAGTTACATCGGATTATTATGTTGGGCCCGCAAATTTACTAACGTTATTGCCGTATGCAACAAAGACCTTAAAATGGAGCACACACCTGAAAGTCATGTATCCGTCTTAAACAGTCTGTGTAGAGTGTGCGGAAGACTTAACATTACAAGGAAGCAGAGAAAATCCTTTAAAAAGCCGTATTTGTGTTAGGAAATAGCCTGTGATCTCTTCTTTGTGTTTTGATGGAATATCAAAGATGACACTAGTGTCAAATGCTCCAAATTTATGTGTTTGAAATGCTGTAAAACATTCTATGATGCTAAACGTCGAAATAATGCAGTGTCCCTACAAACAAGAAGAGACTTTTTTGACAACAGTCAACACAATTGGTGTGCTTACAGTGAAGACTGTGATGCAAAGACGTGCTCAGTCTGTGAACAGAAAAAAAACTGCTCTCTCTTGGCTGTGCCACAGTAAAGCAACGTAACCCCCAGTCTCACTACAGTAGTCAAGAAACATACACAAACCGAGCTAGTCCTAACACCAACATTTCTGAGACAGACACAACCACACAAAGTACATACCCGTGCTCTCAGCACTCAAAACACAAAAAAAACGACCCGCGCACAGTAAAGTCTGAATTGTCACACCAACCCTCAGTCTGTTGTCCCAGTCAGTGACCAAAACATAGATGTACAACATGCAGACACAATGATTCAGGACATGTGTGTATATATAATAATAAAACATATAGAGCCTAATAATTCATGTGGAGTTAAGTGAGGGAAATGTGTGGATATTTATGGGAAAGTGATGCATATATCAAACATTTTGAGGTTACAGAAACTGCGTTAGCAGTGAAATTTGGTGAGTAGATACCCTTAAGTATTACGTTCATAATGTCCCTCAAAGATTAACTAATTCTGATGCTCAGTTTTCTTATTATGGGCACTCGTTATGTCATAATAGAAACGTTAACGGGAATCAGACAGACCATCTTGCACTATCTGTTACAACTAAACCGACCAATACTGATTCACTTTGTTTTTGAAATATCTTGAAAAAGACTCGAAACTTTTGATTCCCTCATGCAGTGATGTCTTTCAGTCAATATTAATGCGTTAATTAGCGTTCAATTCTGGATACAAAATACGATTTTCTAAACTTCTAGCGCGGTCACGCTGACCGAAGAATGCCCAAGCGATGATCAGCACCCTCTTGATCTTGGCTCAGGGTAGATCTAGATCCAGGTTCTTCTAGATCTATGGCTTAGGTTTAGATCTAGATCATCTAGACAGAAAGACATCAATCATAGATTTACACACGCACACACACACACACTCTACTGGGTCTGGGCGCTGAAACTTTCCGAAATCACAAAAGATTTCCGCTACAGGGTCTGTATACTTCATGACTTTGTTCCTGGTTAGCGGGTCTGTATACACTTTGTTTGGATATTGCCTTCCCATTTGACGTTTGTTTACATAACAAGTGCTGTTACTGCTAGATCTATTACTTGTCGAAGTGACTATTTCTCAGAATAATAAACTTGAACTCTATTTCTCCGAGCAGTTTCCGTTCTCGAGTTTTGTTGGTTATTTGCGAGAGTTCGTCATCATACAGAAAGTGTAAGTAGGCCTGGATTCTACATATTTGAAACCAAACGTAAATTCATAAAAATGATAATTTTCTTAAAATGTGTTATGATGCGGTGGAATCATGCGCTCGTCAATATTTGGGCATATGGAGTTGCTGGTATCATCTTAAAGATATTATATAGTTTATTTGCCTTGCTTTCTATGAAAAAAGTGCCCATATTTTGAATAGAAGTTAAGATATTTGTGATTGAAGGAGGTGAGGCTCACTGGTTTCATTTAGGTAAAATTAGCAAGAAAATGGGTAACAAAGTTTGGTGGCTTCCATAGTTTGAGAGTCCATGGAAACTGAAAATGTGCTTTCTGTGTGCCTTTAATGAATGTTTTTCAGTAAAGTACACTCAGAAGGACACAAAAGGTGCTGTGCATAATAAAAATTCAATAGAAATTGCCAAACCGATTGAAAAATGTTGGTTTGTTCGATTTCAATATTTTGATGAGCGCCTGATTTCACCTCGATACCCCACAAATACATTGTAGACTGTTCTCAAATATACACCAGTACCTATTGTGATTCAATAAGTGGTTTCTTAATTTACTCATGTTTGTTTTGGTTTCTTTGATTTTTCAGCATACATCTTTTTGCTAACTGGTTCTCTGCAATTGGAGTGGTGTTACCTATCAACATAGACTTTGCATCGTGGAATTTGCGACTTTATGGTCTCAATGTTGTTGAAAGATTTGAAGTGTATTTATTTTTCATACTTTAAAAAATCTCGGAAAGTTACAAGAGGAATTCAGGACTATCATCAGTAACGGGGAATCATTCAGTGATGATCGTGTACTCAAATTTTAGACATATGTGGCAGCCTGTGCTCTCACTATGCAGACCTCGTAATGCTGCCAAGCATACCACCTTTTGTACAGTAAAAAGTCATTTCTCATCATTAACACCAAGAAAACCTCAAAGGTTTGGGAAATTATCGACGACAGCTGCTGTTTTAGGTCTTGTTTCAGTTTGTGGGGCTGTCTCTTACTTAATGTTGGATTCCCGGGACCAAAGAAAGATAACAGTATTTGCTGGGGGTGTACGGAGATTTATGAGGTAAGCACTTTTGTTACTGAAAGATGTGAGTTCTCCTGTCTCATGCTTTTTTTGTCTCTGTGTTGAATGTTAAGCACGGTACTCTAGTGATTGAGGTGTGAATGAATTATAATTATGACATGTCTCTACATAATAAGGAGATATATGATAGTCGATGTTATACTTCATTTGATAATTTGATAACTGCACAACTTAAATTTCACCCCCTCTTAACTTTATTCCACCCCTTTGCATTTATTTTGTAAGATTTTATTGGAATTTTAGTCCTGGCATAGTCAGTAGTATTCTCTTCTTTTTACTGTGTTAGATTTAAAGACTTTTAAATTTAATTCAGTTGCTCCCTGTGCCAAAATATTCCATGATGAGGCTGAATTTAGCAGCATCTTATTAAATGTAAGGCAAATAAAGGATTTGAGATTTTTTTTCAGATGTGTGTGTGTATATATATATGGTAGGCTACTAGAACTTTTCAGACTTGGCAAGTAATTGACTTTCTGACAATGTAAGAGAAAAGGACCCTTTCTTGCTTCGTCTGTCTCTAGATTCCACAATGTTGCTTATCAAATTGTTCTCATATGCCATGGGTTGTATGTCCATCATGTGGATCTGAAATATGCACTGTCTTTCAGTGTCATTTTATATTTGAAACTTGGGTTATTAACATGTTACTTCAGAATAAATTGTAACATTTGTCTTCAATATAATTATGGGATATTATTGTGGTCTGCCAAGTCAGTGGCTAAAAATGTGTACCCATAGAGAATACAGATGTCATGCTGTCTGGAATTTTCTGTTTGCAACAGTCTGAGTTATTTATTTTAGATGGATGTTCTTGGCTACTAAACGCAAAATTTTACAATGCGACTCGCTTTGAAAGGTGGAGAAATAATGAATCAAGTGTTATGTCTTACAGTTTATATTATCACATTTACTGCAGATCATTACACATTGGACTTGCCCTATCTGCGGACTACAAGTGGACTCTGTACAATGTTGATGAAGAAAGTGACGAGTATGCTGAATTGCTGAAAGCTTGTCACAAACGCTCTGCAGAGAGAATACTTGCTGGTTGCTTACAGAATGGAGGTCTCTATGTTAAACTTGGGCAAGGTACTTCTTTGAGCATTATAGATCCAATATATATCCACCCTTAGTGCATAGTGTATTTTTAAAATAAAAGTTGTTTGTCTTTGAATTGACATTTTATTTCTTCAAATGAAAAAATATATTTTTATAGAGGGAAGAAGGTAGTCTAAAGCACTTTATAAAGTCTTCGATAGAAATGTGATGGGACTTGTGTCTGTTGTGTAAGCGTTAGGCTCTTTGCAATTACATGGAGAAGACTTAAGTTTGTTTGCCGTAAAGGGAAGTAGAAGAAAACTAGTGGGGTTAACAGACTGCAGATCTTCAGAGAAAGAATCACTTTCAGCAAGTGTTTTGGCCCTAACTACCTGACACTCTGAGGGGGCCGGGCCACACTCGGGTCACGACTCCCAGTTGCTCTCCTGCTGTTTTTTTAAAGTCTTGGCACTGGTCAAGGGTCGAACCTTAGCGGTTTTGGGCTATCTCCAATTCTTCAGTCAGTGAATGTTTGCGCAAGGCCGTAGAGCTTTCAGTGGAAATAGTAATGTGAAGCTATTTATAAATCTTCTAGAACTTTTTGGGAATGTCCATATCTTTCTGTTCCATTTTTAGCGGTCCAGCGTTCAAGCCGTTTTACTATGTCCAGCTTGAACCTTTCTCTGCCATTTCTGAAATGAGTCTGATGGCTGACTTTCTTTTCTGGCATATGAAGCCTAGTTGTCTTAGCAGTGTGAATGTTGAACTATGTTGAGGTTGCAACAAACACTTGTGCACCCACTTCTACTGGCATACCCTAAGAGCTGTAGCCTTTTCTTGAAGTTGGTTTGAGAGATCTTTATATTTTTGACAGCTTGGATTGATATTGTGCATCTATCCTACTTTCGTATAGAACAGGCAACTCGATTAGGAAGATGTTGGCATCATTTTATGACCAGAGAACAATATCTAGTTTGAGACCTGTTCTCTTGATCACAGGGGGATAGTTCCACATCTCTGGGAGATCTGCAGCTAGTTCCCAATCCTTGGCAGATCCTAAAAGGTTTTCACTTCTTGAGAGGCAAGGCACTTGCTTTCTTCCAACCCATTTTTCTTCCCTGCTGTGAAGAATATTTGAACTGGAGCTACTCCGCTGACAGTGTTGGTCTCCAGGCTGCAAAAGACTGCAAGGAAAAACTCTCTGCACTGTTTTTCCACCACGTATACCTGCCTTCTTGTTCCTCCTGGCATAATTGGCAGTGGGGTCTTCTTCCTTGCCCCACTTCACGAGATTAGCTTTTGATGGCAGCAAGTCATATGTTGCTCTGATAATGAAGCTAAATCTCAAAGATGCCATGTGTCACACATCGTTCCAGTTAAGGGATCTTTGCAAGGCATCGGTCCAATTTGTCCGCTGGCCCTACTGCGATTTGTTGGACCGCTTTCTTCTTGTCTTCAGTTTCCTTCACTTCTTGGATCACCATGTCTCGGCATTCTTTACTGTGTGCCGTAGACCACCACAGCGTCCTTTCGCTTCCAAGTCCTTGTCTTTCAACCAGGGTATGGCCCACGGCATCTTTGAGCCTGAGGTTATTTTTGGCATCCATCATGGCATCCAATACTTTTAAATTTCTGCCAGTTAGTCTGTGTTTGTCCCCAGATAAAGTTGCATTTGAAAATAGTAAAAGTTACAAAAAGTTTCAAGGAAAATAAACAAAAGTTGCAAGAAATGTGTAGCTAAAAATGATAAGGAACTTGGAATGCATTATTGGTATGCCCATTTCAATCAAAGTAACCGACATAAGTTTCTTTAGATCAAAATCAAAAGTTATACTGTGAATGTCTACCCCAAAAAGCTGCATGGAGGTTGCATGGTGTACAAAAACAGTTTATCCCCTGACACATGGGTCAGGTCCTTAAACACTCGCTGACGTTGGGCAGGTGTGAGCAGTGTGGTTTGAGGCCGTTCAAATATATAATCTTACGCCTTTTTTCAGACTTTTTGGCCCCCCCCCCCCTCCCCCAACCTTTACACTTTTTTACATCCCCCCCCCCCCCCCCCCCCCCATCCTGTAATATTACATTATTCTCTTATAATAATAATATGACATTTTTATTGCGCAAATCTGTGTTACAATTAATCTTCTATCCGCTTTACTTTTACATAAAATAATAATATTCATGAAAAACATGCATACCCACATGTGACATAATTAAATACGGTACAAGCGGAACTTTTTTGGGAAAAACTTATGGCGTCATTTTGCCACTTTAACCGCTGCGGTGCAATCAAAATTAGACTAGATACATGTCATGTAACCTAGATATCTACCAGTGTATAAAGTGCAAGATGGCATATCGTGCTTGCTGCTGGAGGACCTAAGGTATCGCCACAATGCCGTGCTTTCCGCTCTAAGTGAATAGTATAGTTTTACTGTTTTTTAATGTTTTTAAAAAAAAATATGTTTTCATGAATTATTTTCCTTGTTATTTTTTTACAAAAGTTTAATCTTACGTTTATTCAAGACCCCTTCACCACCTTTCTTACACTTCGACAGCGCTTCGAATTGCGGAAGTTAGATCTGGGCCGAGCTGGTTGTAACGGAGTAAAAGTACTTCGGTACTTGTGTTTAGGTTACAATTTTCGGTATTTTTTCTGTACTCCGTACATTTTTGAGAACCAGTACTTTTACTCTACTCAGGTACTTTTTATAAAGTACTTTTGAGTATTTTTTTTTGGGTACATTTTGAGTACTTTTGAAGCTTAATCAAAGGGTAAGATCCCGCATTTCTGATCATAATTTACGGAACAAACGCACAGCCGATCAACCGACAGTTAAAAGTTAAGATCAAAGAACTGCCTGTCGTGTAAAAAATCAGCCACTCTCGTGAATGTGATCACAAACGTTGTAAAACTCCATGAAACGGAACAATGTTTGCCCCAGACGGGATCACACCAAGGTGTGAACTAACCGATGCGTTTGTTTTCCCCACGCATCGCACTCGCATCTGAGCTCGCCTCCTAAATTTACTTCACTCGCTTGGTGGGTAGGGCCTACAAGTTCGCTCCTGGCAGGATCACATCGAACTGTGAACTCTTCCCTGACCATTGAAGGCTGATTTTCTCTATTCCCGAATTTACTAGACAGCCTGAATTTTACTTGGTGTGGTCACAACGTAATGGTGCGTAACGACAAGGGCGGGGGAACTCAATCAGAGATGGAAAGCTACAATTTTTGGACAGGATGGGCAACTGGATAATTGTAGATCAAGATCTCGAGACTCACCATGGGATAATGAGTGTATAATATTATGGCATACCTCATGCCACTGTGATTGGTCATCGAGGTTGACCACTCTTTTCTCACCATATGTCATAAACCCACTCACGGGTCACGTCAGTTCATGGGTCATGGCTTTGTCGGCTAAGACTAAGATCCCATATTTTCCTTGCTCCCGAGCACCAGGATCTTCGGTGGAGACTACTGTAGTAGAGAATCTTTGATAACACTACACTTACTAGACTCTATGATACAACATATGTGAGGCAGCGTGGTGGAATCAGACTCTCGTCAATTTTTGGGCATGTAGAGTTATTGATATCATCTTAAAGCTTGTTCATTTGTCCTTATTTGGATGAAAAAATATCCATTTATCTTGAATACAAGTCGAGATATTTGCGAAAGAAGGAGGTAGGGGTCACCTGTTTTCAGAGGTAAAATTACTGAGAAAATGGTCGCCAAAGATTAGTTATTTCCTTAGCTTAAGAGTCCGTGGTAAGTGAAAGTTTACATTTTTTGGTGCTTTTAATCGTTTTTCAGAAAAATCCTCACAGAAATGAGTTATTTATTGGGCATGAAAGGTGTTGAGCCGAAAAACAAAAATTTGATAAAAATTCACAACCGTGCGAAAAAATGCCAGTCTCTTCACTTTGATTATTTTGACGAGAGCCTGATTCCACCACGCTGACTCATATATGTATTTTGGTTTGCTGTGGGAGCTGTGGACCACACAGTGTGACCAAAATCTGTCTTACCGCGGTAATCAATTGAAACTGAAACTGAGTTCTCAATGTATACATTTTGTGTCTTACAATTTTTTAGGCTACCTGAATATCTTTTAAAAATTAAGGCTACATTGATTCCTTGGGGATTTGTTAATGAAGAATTCAATGCACTTTTCCATTTCTTTTCAGGCCGTTTTCATCAATTTTATGTTTTGTTAAGAGCAACTTTATCTCAACATTTTTCAATTTGGATACTTTTCCTGTAGAACTTTCTTATCTTCTTCTTTTTTTTTTCTTCTTCTTCTTCTTCTTCTTCTTCTTCTTCTTCTTCTTCTTCTTCTTCTTCTTCTTCTTCTTCTTCTTCTTCTTCTTCTTCTTCTTCTTC